TTAAATATTTTCGTACATTACGCCGGATATGGCAAGACTTAAATACAATCTAATGTTAAATCGATGACTAAGACACATGCAAAAAAAACCATATTAGATTGATTAACCTCGAAAATCAAAAATGTTATTCATTTGTATTTTTTAAGAAAAAAATGGAGAGAAAGAGAGAGTGAATATGAGTAAATGATGGAAATTGACACGTATTCATCTTGAAAAACTTGTATTATATGCTATGATTTTTTATGTTTAACGATTTAATTTTTTTTTAAGTGAATTTTTATATTGCTTTATGCCTACTACACATTGTAGTACATTTTACCTTTAAAAAAAAAATTAATTGAAAGGAATGTAATGTAGTATTAAGGTTCAATGGTATTAACTTGCACAACCGTTGGAATCGATACCCTTCACCTGATAACTGCCTTAAATTGGTTTGACAGTTTTAATGGTCAACTTGAGTATACAGATAATCTAATAATATAACTGGACATTGTATAACTTTACCCTAGTCAGTTGGACTTGGCCTTTCTCACACTATGAATCTATGATTGTCAGTTTTGAGCCTAAGCTCTGAAGTTTGTGATACATCTTAATAATAGCAGTTTTTTGGTAAACAAGTTACTAAATCATAGAGAAAGAATTTCTCGATGATCCAATCAGAAACTCTAAAAGTATGGGGTGACCTTTTACGTGAGACACACCCCCATTACCTAAAGTATAATAGGCAAACAGCCCCATATCACTGAGTCAGTGATCAGTAGTCAGTAGTCAGTAGTCAGTAGTTAAATTCAGTAATTAGGAGTACACAGAAGAAAAGTACAGAGCCGAGCTGACTCCACTCTAAAAGTGTTCTCTAACATCTGAAACCTAGAGTTTAGCTGATTGTAACCAACGTACAGTTTGTGTGAATAAAAGTTTGCAGTGAACTAAAAGGAACTGTGCATACTACTCATAAAAGGCGACAACAACTAACCGATATTTAACAATAGCTTCATCAAATGATGTTTGGGAAAATAATGGTTAGAAAATACAGCACCTGATGGACAGTCTCGGGTGGGGGAGAACCTTAACATTATGGACACATAAATTTATAGCATATGATGGACTAACCATCTATACACATATACAGCATGTGATTGAGGCATGTGATAGACGGACAAACGTATGCCTTTCTTCAATTAATTTCCAAAAAAATAACTTCAAAAAACTCGTGTTTTTATGGGTATTGGTAAACCACGCATACCCCGCAAACCTCCAAAAAAACACAGCAAACCCCATCCAAACTCTGTGATAATAATTGAATCACATAGTATAGGACTCAACATGGTATCTCAAAAAAAAAAAATCTGAGTTTTATGTTCGTCACAACCCATTTTTGGGGTAAAAAGGCCTTTTTTTGTATAAAAAAATTGCTAAACCCAGCAAACCCCCCAAAACACGGTGCAAACCCCATCCAAACCCTGTGATAGTGATTGAATCATGTAGTATAGGACTCAACTTGGTATCTCAAAAAAAAAAATCTGAGTTTTATGTTTGTCACAACCCATTTTTGGGGTGAAAAGGCCATTTTTTGTATTAAAAAAATTGCTAAACCCCGCAAACCCCCCAAAACACAGTGCAAACCCCATCCAAACCCTGTGATAGTGATTGAATCATGTAGTATAGGACTAACTTGGTATCTCAGTATAAAAAAAGTATAATGTTCTGTTCGTAGCAACCTACTTTTTTGGTAAAAATGCAATTTTTTAATTCAAAACATTGCTAAACCCCGCAAACCTCCAAAAACACAATGCAAACCCCATTCAAACCCTGTGATAATGATTGAATCAAATAGTATAGGACTTAACTTGGTATCTCAATAAAACAAATCATAATTTTATGTTCGTCACAACTTATTTTTGGGTTAAAAAGGCCATTTTTTGTATAAAAAAATTGCTAAACCCCGCAAACCTCCAAAAAAACACAGCAAACCCCATCCAAACCCTGTGATAGTGATTGAATCACATAGTATAGGACTCAACTTGGTATCTCAATAAAACAAATCATAATTTTATGTTCGTCACAACCTATTTTTGAGGTAAAAAGGCCATTTTTTGTATAAAAAAAATTGCTAAACCCCGCAAACCTCCAAAAAAACACAGCAAACCCCATCCAAACCCTGTGATAGTGATTGAATCACATAGTATAGGACTCAACTTAGTATCTCCATAAAAAAAATCCACAAACTCCACAAACACAGTGCAAACCCCATCCAAACCCTGTGATAGTGATTGAATCATGTAGTATAGGACTCACTTGGTATCTCAATTGTGATTCAATCATTATCACAGGGTTTGGATGGGGTTTGCACTGTATTTTGGGGGGTTTGCAGGGTTTAGCAATTTTTTTATACAAAAAATGGCCTTTTTCCCCAAAAAATAGGTGGTGACGAACATAAAATTATGACTTGTTTTATTGAGATACCAAGTTGAGTCCTATACTATGTGATTCAATCATTATCACAGGGTTTGGATGGGGTTTGCACCGTGTTTATGGAGGTTTGCGGGATTTAGCAATGTTTTTAATCAAAAAATGGCATTTTTACCCAAAAAGTAGGTTGTTATGAACAGAACATTATACTTTTTTTTTTACTGAGATACCAAGTTAGTCCTATACTACATGATTCAATCACTATCACAGGGTTTGGATGGGGTTTGCACTGTGTTTTGGGGGGTTTGCAGGGTTTAGCAATTTTTTTATACAAAAAAATGGCCTTTTTACCCCAAAAATAGGTTGTGACGAACATAAAATTAAGATTTTATTTTATTGGGATACCAAGTTGAGTCCTATACTATGTGATTCAATCACTATCACAGGGTTTGGATGGGGTTTGCACTGTGTTTTTGGAGGTTTGCGGGGTTTAGCAATTATACAAAAAATGCCATTTTTACCAAAAAAATAGGTTGTTACGAATGGAACATTGACATTTTTTTTACTTATATACCAAGTGAGTCCTATACTACATGATTTAATCACTATCACAGGGTTTGGATGGGGTTTGCACTGTGTTTTGGGGGGGTTTGCTTGTTTAGCACTTTTTTAATACAAAAAATGGCCTTTTTACCCCAAAAATGGGTTGTGACGAACATAAAACTCAGATTTTTTTTTTATTGAGATACCAAGTTGAGTCCTATACTATGTGATTCAATTATTATCACAGAGTTTGGATGGGGTTTGCTATGGTTTTTTGGAGGTTTGCGGGGTATAGGGGGTTTGCGGGGTATAGCAATATCCGTTTTGATTGCATAAATTAATTTCACAAGCTTTTATTCTCAAATATAGCGGTATCAGTATTCTTTCTATAATGGTACAAGCCACCGGGAACCAGACGTCGAACAGAAAGTTTCAACAGCCCACGTGTGTTTTGTTTCGACATCATAAATGAAGCTGCTCACGTGACCTAGGACCACACTCCCGAAAAGAAGGTTATTTATTGTTTTGAGCGAAGCGATTTCGAATAAAACGTTTCAAAATTGTTTGAGTGAAAGTAACTATGAAAATAATTATTTAAACAACCCAAACCATTGCTTGATTTTTGTAGAAAATGTAGTAGGAATTACAGTACAGCACTGTAGGCCTATAGTGAGTATAATTACAAATACTAGCCCTTCAACAAAGGCTAGGCTAATTAATTGGGCTAGGAGGAGCATGGGCCCAAGCTAGACAGACGGCGATCTGAACCTTTTGGGAGTAGGTTAACGACTGGTGTATAGGCCGCACCCCAAACTTCGAGGGGAAAATCGTGTATAAAATTTGCAGCTTATTCACCGGAAATATGGTTTATGGAGCAAAAACTTGTGTTTCTTCATGATTTTAAGGGGGAGCGGAAGAATTTGTATGAGGCTGGGCAGAAGGCCTAGCTTTAGCATGGGCGCAAGAAGTCAAGAGTGGGTGGCGCCGCGCACCTCCGCCCTGCATAACGACATCCCTGCACTTCTCAGAACCCCTTCCCCCCCCCTTTTATAAATTTCTGGATCCGCCTCTGATTTTTTTGATTCAAAATGAAAATACTGTATTACCTTACACAATCATTATTCAAAAAGATACAATCAAGTTATTGCAATTCACAAATGTACATTGATTTTTTACGTACAAAGGAACGTACGCACCCGCAGGGTTCTGGTTTGTATTAAAGAGTTTATTTACAATGACATTGGACCTATGATAGGCCTACAGTACTTCGCGATTGTGAGATATGTTACATGGGAACGAGCACCACACCAGTATTTCCTTTTTTGAGCACCGCTCTTGAATAGTACCGTACTGAATCCTCCAAATATTATTCAAGCTTTTACAGAATAAAGACATTATTTTATTTCTAAGTAAAAAGTGTTAAAAGATTGTATTTGTATATTTTATTTAGTTGATATTTATTATTTAGTTGAAAACTATATACATAACTATCCTCATATTCACTGTTATTAATGTTAATATTTTTGAGAATTAAAATTGATTTATTTTAAAAAGAAATGAAAATGTTACTTTCAACACCCTTGTAGCAGTACTACCATCTGTAAATTTGTATATAGGATCCGTGTGTAAATAATACCTTGCATTTTTAACTAATATCCCAAATTTTCCTTAAGGTCATTTGCCTTAATTCAAGTGACCACACATCATTTGGGAATGTTGATGAGTTTCCAAGGTACTAGACAAGAACAGGCAATTACTAATCCTTATTGGTCTGATAGTATGAAAGGTGATGCTATATCACATACATTTGTACTTTTACAGACACTCCTCAGTTTGTCTTCCCTGAGTACACATTACTTTCGCTTTCTATCAATTTGTATATATCAACTTGTTTCTCAAGTGTTTTTGTAAATACGCTTTTCACTTGGAATAAATTGTACAGTTCTACATATAAATTAGTGTGGTGTATTTTTATCATCTCATCGTACACTTACACTAAAGTGGTGACCTCCGACGTTTCAGTACACACTCTTTGCACCAAGTTAATAATGGAAGGACAACAGCAACAAGTTCAACAGCAACAACCTGTCGTATCTGCTTCAGATGCAGCACCGCCTGCAATATCATCAGTTTCTCTGAAACTTCCACCCTACTGGCCCAATGATCCAACATTATGGTTCACACAGGTTGAGGCACAGTTTACAACCAGGCATATCATGGTGGACGCTACGAAGTACGCGTATTTGATGGGCTCCTTGCAACCGGAGATAGCCCAAGAAGTGCGCGATCTCCTACTTCACCTGCCACAGGACATACAATTAAAGGAGGCATTAATAAAATGGACATCTGACTCCGATCAAAAGCGTCTCCGACAACTTTTGACAGCGGAGGAGTTAGGAGATCGAAAACCCTCCCAATTATATCGCAGGATGTTGCAACTGCTCGGCGACCGAACCCTTGAACCAACAATTATGAAGCGATTGTTCTTAAGTCATCTTCCAGCCAATGTTCAGTTAATTTTGGCTTCTGCAAAAGATGAGCCAGATATGCCAGGCCTAACTACACTTGCCGACAAAATATTGGAGGTATCTGCCACCTCCCCAATATCTGTGCCACCGCCGACTGTTTCTTCCGTCCACCCAGAGGAACTGCCCTCACAATCTGCCACAATTCACACACTTCAATTGCAGATTCAACAATTGACCCAAAAATTTGAATCTTGGCAAGCGGATCAACGATCTCGACCCAGAAGCGGAAGCCGAAATCGCAGTCGATCATATGGTCGCAATCGCTCTTCATCGCGCAATCGCTCTTCATGATCAGCCGTTAATAAGACGCCATCACTTTGTTGGTACCATTTGAAATTTGGTGATAATGCACGCAAATGTCTTCCGTGTTCGGGAAACACCAATGCCAACAACTAAAAGCGACGAACATTGCTGGCCATTCTGTAAGTCGCCTTTTCTTTATCATGAACAAGTTTTATAACCAACGCTTCCTCATCGACACTGGGCCAGAAGTTAGCGTTGTTCCACCAACTCGACATGAACGTAAAAACAGGCGACATGATTATAACTTAAACGCGGCTAACAATTCATCGATTGCAACATACGGACACCGTTCAATTACTCTTGATCTGGGACCTGTCTCTTATACACATCTAGATGTGTATAAGAGACAGCCATTATAGGCGCCGATTTTCTACGACATTTTGGACTCCTTGTCGACATGACTCACCATCGACTAGTGGACACAACAACCAATTTAAGTATTCAGGGTATACTTTCGAAATGCCCACCACTCAACCTTATGTTTAACACAGTTGTGGGTAAGTCCAACTTTGATAACATTCTTTCAGAGTTTCCTCCAATAACACGCCCATGTTATCAGGAGGGGTCTCTGAAACATGATGTAACCCACACATTATAACCAACGGCCCTCCAATATCTGCACGTCCCCGTCGCCTTGAGCCCGACCGTTGCAAGATCGCACAACATGAATTTGAACATATGATGCAGCTTGGTATAGTCCGCCCCTCTGACAGTAACTGGTCGTCACCCCTGCACATGGTTACAAAGAAAACCCCTGGAGATTGGCGTTCTTGTGGTGATTATCGTGCACTCAACAATGTCACTCTTCCTGATCGGTATCCTATACCTAACTTGCAAGATTTTACATCCACATTACATGTTGCAACCATTTTATCAAAAATTGATCTCGTCAGAGCATATCACCAAATCCCTGTCGAGCCCAGCGATGTACCAAAAACCGCTATAACTACCCCATTTGGTTTGTTTGAGTTCGTTCGCATGCCTTTTGGATTACGCAATGCCGCACAAACTTTTCAAAGATTTATCGATCAAGTCACACGCAGACTTGATTTTTGTTATGTATATATAGACGATTTGCTTGTTGCAAGCTCTTATGCCCAGGAACACGAAAATCATTTGCGACAATTGTTTACTCGCCTCAATGAGTATGGTGTTGTTCTTAATCCAGCAAAATGCCAATTTGGAGTTTCATCATTGGAATTCTTAGGACACCATGTGGATGCCAAAGGTATCCGACCACTTCAAACAAAAGTTGACGCGATACAACAATTTCCACAACCAAAGACATTATGCAAACTCTGCCAATTTCTTGGACTTGGAATTTTTACCGTCGATTTATACCTCAATGCGCTGGGATCTTACAACCTGTTACAGCATTACTTGTAGCAACAGGTAAGAAACAAGATCTCATTTGGACTGACGCAGCATTGACTGGATTCACAAACGTAAAAATCGCCCTTGCTAACGCTACACTCCTCACCACCCGCAGCCAGATGCACCCTTGTGTATTATGGTAGATGCTTCGGATATGGCTATAGGAGGTATTTTGCAGCAACGCATTGACGACAATTGGCAACCGATCTCTTTTTACTCTCAAAAACTTAAACCAGCAGAGACACGATACAGCACGTTTGGTCGTGAGCTTTTGGCAGTGTATCTCTCAGTTAAACATTTCCGTCATTCTCAGGACGCTCATTTCACATCTTAACTGATCACAAGCCACTCGTTTACGCCTTTCGCGCTAAAGCTGATCGTCACTCTCCACGTGAAATTCGTCATCTAGACTTTATCTCCCAATTTACGACTGATTTACGTCATGTAAGCGGCAAAGATAATGCTGCAGCCGACGCACTGTCGCACATCGAACTTAACTCTCTTGAGCACCATTCGTCTAAAATGGTTGATTTTAAACGCATTGCAGTGGCACAACAAACTGATGATGAAATGTGCAAACTACGTGAATCATCATCATCACTTAAACTCCAACCATTTCCAATTGCAACTTCAGACTCAACGATTCTTTGCAATGTTTCACAGGTAATCCTCGCCCATATGAGGCATGTCGTGGCAAAATGGTGAAGTTGTCGCACAGGCCAGTATTGAGTAAATGAGCTTTAAAATATGGGAGCTCAAAAAAGTGCCTAAAAATCCAAATTTGTTTTTCACTACAAATCAACAGTTTAGTGTCTTATTAATCATGTTCCAAAGTATTAGTTCTGGAAGTGGTCAACAAATCGTTTATTTAAGTTATTTTGATACTTAATTCTATTAAACAATGTATGCACAAATAACTTTGAAAGGCAATTACTCAAAATCATGTTTATCTTGACTGTAAGAGTGCTGTACTTTCATTTTGCAATAACTTAGGCTTGAAAAGAGGTACATACGGTTAGAAATGATGATATTGAGGCCCTTTGGATTGAGGTTAATTTACCCTGTACTAAGCCAATGCTTATTGGTACTGTATATAGGCCACCCAGTGCCAAAGCAGACTATTTATTTAAACTTGATTCTATGTTCCAGCAATATACCACATTATATGAGGATGCTGTAATTTTAGGGGATTTCAATCTTGACATTAATAAACAAAGTAACTTAAGAAAAATAAATAATCTGGCAAAACAAAGTAACCTACACCAAATCATAAATGATTTTACAAGAATAACTGAAAATAGTAAAACAACAATAGATCTAATATTTGTTACAAATCAAAATATCTCCTCTGCTGGCGTGCATAGCCTAGGTCTTAGTGACCATTCATTAATTTATTTAACTCGTAAAAATAAAAAAATAAAGGCCCCCCCTAAAATTATACAATCAAGATCTTACAAAAACTTTAATGCTAATGATTTTATCAATGATATCAAATCTACCAACTGGGATCAAATTAAAATTGCTCCTGATGTTAACACTGCATGGTCAATTTGGAAATCCTTATTTGAGAATATATGTAATGCCCATGCTCCTTTTAAAACAAAGAGAGTGAAGGGCACTCTTCCTGAATGGATAACCAGTGATTACATAAGACTAACAAAAGATAGAGATTATCATTATAACAAAGCCCACAAGACTAACAATGCAGAAGATTGGAAGCAAGCAAAATCACTAAGAAATAGAGTAAACAATTTAAACAAAGAACTAAAAAGAAAATATTGTACAAAATCAATAAGTGAAAATGTCAAAAATCCCAAGAAGCTTTGGAGTACAATTCATAAATTAATCCCCAAGAATGTAGTAAAGGTTGGTAAAATATCGAATTCTTTATGTGATAGAGATATTGCTAATAAATTAAATGAGCATTTTACCTCCATAGGAAATAAACTTAGCTGTAAATTTTCAAATATTATTCCTTCTAACACCACTACTAACACTTACCTAAACTCTACTGAAAACCAATTTAAATTTGATATTATCATGCCAGAGTATGTTTTTAATGAACTTTGTAAATTGCCTTGTAATAAAGCAACTGGTATAGATGGCTTGGATTGTAAATTGCTTAAATTGGCTGCACCAGTGATTTGTGATACAATTGCTTATATATGTAACTTATCTTTATTTTCTTCAACCTTCCCGTCAGAGTGGAAGAAAGCTAAAGTAACACCCATTTTTAAAGAAGGTGATAAAGATGACCCAAGCAATTATAGACCAATCTCTGTGCTGCCAATTATTTCAAAAATAATTGAACGGGCAGTTCATGATCAACTGTATAACTTTTTAAACAACAATAATTTAATTAATGTATCTCAGTCTGGGTTTAGAAAGAACCATTCTACTAACACTACACTAATTGACGTGTCTGACTATATACTTAATAATTTAAATGACGGTAAAGCTACAGCAGCAATATTCCTAGATCTTAAGAAAGCCTTCGATACAGTTGATCATGAACTTCTGGTTCATAAACTAAAATGTTATGGAGTAAATAATATTGAGCTAAATTGGTTTATATCTTATTTATGTAACCGGTCACAAGTTGTAAATATAAATTCTACTCAATCAGATCTTATGGATATAAATATTGGTATACCACAAGGCTCAATATTAGGTCCACTATTGTTCATTATTTATGTAAACTCACTGCCAGATATTATGCCATGTAAATGTGTAATGTATGCAGATGACACCACTATTCTTTGTACTTCTGATGACCCAGTCACTCTTCAATATGAGCTAAATTCCTATTTAAATAAAATTGCTAATTGGTTTGAAATGAATAAACTGACATTAAACATAAAAAAGACAAAACTAATGATTTTTGGGACAAACCAGATTCTTCCTAAATTTAAAGATATTTCTATATCCTTCAATGGGCATAACATTGAACGAGTCGACTCTTTCAAATATCTTGGAGTTACTTTTGACCCACAATTAACTTGGAATGATCATATAAACACCGTGTCCTCCAATGTTTCAAAACGTATTGGTGTCATCCGACGTGTTAAATATTTCCTTCCATCATATACCCTTAAAATGTTAGCTAATGCGCTTGTATTTCCTCTTTTTTATTATTGTTGTTGTGTATGGTCAAATTGTAATGTTCAAAATATTAATTGTTTACAAGTACTTATGAATAGATTAGGTAGAATTTTGCTTTCTGTAGATATTAAGACTTCAACTGATTTTATTTTAAGTCAACTTGGCTGGAGAAGACTCAATGCAATTTGGAATGAAAAATTACTTCTAATGACTTTTAAATGTTTGAAAGGGTGTGCTCCTCCATATTTATCCTCAAAATTTACCTTTAATAATACTACCCATTCTCAAGGCACACGTAGCCAAACCCATAACAATTTAGTTGTCCCCACTTGGAATATTTCCCATGGCAAAAGAACCTTTACTTACCGTTCATCCAAAAGCTGGAATGAACTTCCAAATGAACTAAAAATTAACTTTAAAGAAATGTCAATTCATACATTTAAAAATTTCCTTATTACACAAGATTTGCATTGAATTTTCTCTATGACTGATTTTTGTTTTTATGTTTGTTT